TCCCAGTTGGCTTGTTAGCTCAATTGGTAGAGCGCAGCACTAGTATCGCAGACGTCAGTGGTTCGAATCCCGTATAGGCCTGATTTTTTTCAGGTCTGATTTTCGCTATTGCATAAATAGCGCTCTCTACTGCGAGGATCGTGCATCATACGTAGATTTTTTAGCCTAACTTACTTGTGGCCTCCAACAAAGCTCTGTAGATCTTCGCGTAGCCAATCCCTGCATTATCTTCGTTGATCGAGAGACGAGACTCGTGCGCATGTAGTGCGAAAATAGCATAATCCATCTGAGTTTGAGGAATTGTGTTTTCACAAAAATCAGCCATTTGTTGCAATCCAAAGTTGTACTTCCCAATCGCGAGGTTGAAGCCATGTTTCTTATTCATTTCCATCAGGAACGCCTCAACCACCTCTAGCTTATAGGTGTTATCGCAATTGAAAAGACAAATAGTCTTCTTCGATTTATTCGCCATAATGGGAAAAAGTTCTGAACTATTTCTTCGCCAAAAGCTCAACTCTTAGTAATATGTGAGCGTCGTTTGTTTCAGGGTGGTGATTCTGCGAATAGCAGATTTCCGCGAAATGTTTATCGTGTGACGTTGTTTTTGATGTTTTGTCACGCAACGCAGTCTCAAATGGTGTTTTTCCCGCTCCTATGACTCTTATTCCGAGTGTTGAGGCCCGGATGGTGTCTTTCCCGCTCCTATGACTCTTATTCCGAGAGAAAATGTCGTTATTATCTTCTCCTATGACTATCAACAACTTGTTGTCTGATAAACAATGGTTTAAAAGACATAAGAAACAATACAATACAATGTTCTTTATTTTAAGAGGGTAAATACATGATTAACCCAGTAAAGAGTTTTCTAACACATGGCCCTCTGTAATACAGAACAACCCACCCTACCAATTGAGCTAACAAGCCAACTGGGAGCAGGCCGTTAAGTTGATTTGTAATAAACCCATGATGATAAATCAGATACAATGAATATATGAAGTTCATTTATTTTGAACTGCGGTATTAAATACGTACAGTATGATGCACAATTCTTCGCAGTAGAAAGCACTATTTATGCAATAGCGAAAATCACACCTGAAAAAAATCAGGCCTGTACGGGATTCGAACTGCTGACTATACGTATTTAATACCGCAGTTCAAAATATATGAACTTCATATATTCATTGTATCTGATTTATCATCACGGGTTTATTACGAATCAACTTAACGGCCTGCTCCCAGTTGGCTTGTTAGCTCAATTGGTAGAGCGCTGCACTAGTATCGCAGAGGTCAGTGGTTCGAATCCCGTACAGGCCTGATTTTTTTCAGGTCTGATTTTCGCTATTGCATAAATAGCGCTCTCTACTGCGAGGATCGTGCATCATACGTATCTAATACCGCAGTTCAAAATATATGAACTTCATATATTCATTGTATCTGATTTATCATCACGGGTTTATTACGAATCAACTTAACGGCCTGCTCCCAGTTGGCTTGTTAGCTCAATTGGTAGAGCGCTGCACTAGTATCGCAGAGGTCAGTGGTTCGAATCCCGTACAGGCCTGAAATTTTTTTCAGGTCTGATTTTCACTATTGCCCAAATAGTGCTTTACTGCGAAGGATCGTGCATATATACGAGTGATAGTAATGAACGGTTGCATGGATTGTAAATACAAGGATGGGATCGGTAGGGGAAAAGAAATCGTAATGCTCAAATGTCCGTTTTTCAGGTGTAACGTCGATTTTTTATTTCCCTTTTAGACTTCTTACATTGTTTTATAGTTTCTGAACAACTTGGATAACATAGTCGAACTAATGGGCAAAGCTACCAACCCATGATCTTGAGAGGTAATGAGAACTTAACTTAGAAAAGAAATAATCGATAAAATATTTAATATTGAAGACAGTCATTCAGTATATTTTTTAAACAACAAACAACGATTCTTTATTCAATGTAAAATCCAATATAGATATATCAACTAGTAGTTACAGTTACTGTATAACTTCCGTGACTTATCCCATGAAGAAATCAACTGATTGCTGGTTTCGACTTCACAAAACAAAAGTCACTTTCTCTAATTCTAATTGAAGCGTTTGTGTACCATAACAAATTCACAATAACTAGTTGCTCTCGCAACTACAAGTTAAAGTGCGCGTTTACAAAGTGGAAAAAAAATACCCTACAGCATTGAAGTCGTAAAACAAAATATCGAAAAACAGGCAGTTTACAAGCTTTATGGCCAATTCTACAGGAGTTCATCACAGTTTCCATGGCATGATGCGATGAGGAGTATTACTTATCCTTGGATGGGTTGCTAGACCATCCAAGACTGTTACCTGTAGCTGATTTATAAACCTGAAAGAAAAACTGCATGGATTCCCAATCCAGATTAGTAGGTATATCTGGTTTGTGCTCGCACGAATACCTTGTTGAACTATTCTACCAGTCAACCCCCATACAACTTAATAATTTCGAATGAAGTGAGTTACGAAGGTGGGAAGTAATTGACAAATCAGACTCTTTGCATATCTGACCTAATCTTCTCTAAGACTTCTCTAAGTTTAAGTCTTTTTGGTAGGTTAAGTTATCTAGCTAGGAGAAGAAAACATTCATTTTTCTGTGTACTGTTCTTAATGTAGACTAAAATTTTCCTGGGGTTCTTGGCAGTTCAACCCGCTGATCAGGCATTCTTGGTTGGTTATAAACTAGAGTTAACCTCCAAATACCAAAAATGACAAGCCCGGCCACGCATAACAAAGTTATAGCGATCAATGATGATCTACAACTCCCCCCATCTTCCGGCGGAGCCCTAGAAACAGTGTACGTGACACCACCGGAACCAGTGGATATGAACTGCACATTAACTTCAACTTCTTTCCCCCATTCTCGGACTAGATCCTGCACAATCTTTTCAGACGGCATCCAGGCTCGGTCCCAAGTCTTAACGTCACCGACCTCGAAAGAGATCCTCCCGTAGCGGAGCCGAGTATGTAGCAGAACTGTGCCCTCTGGGTAGTACGACGGGACTGAAATTTGATTAAATGAGACATGAATTGAATAAAATGACGTTTACTTTTGAGAGGAATTGGTTTACAAAAGGTCAGAACAAGATGGAGGTTACCTGAATGTTAAAATACTTTCGTCTTAGTTCGGAAAACGTCGTAAAGATTCTAAAAGAGGGCGTGAGGCTAGGTTTTTCTCATGTTGGCCTCAATTATTAATAGAAAAGTATGTGAAAGCCCTGTGAGCCACTAATATAATGTTGCACACGCTTTTCAAATTATTTTTCATATACAATTATTGTGGGTAATGTCACATTTACGTGAAATTTCATCTAATAAAATAGTGTTAAAAACAGTGTGAATAGCGCGCTTCAATGTTATCATTTCAAACGCCTTTGTACACGGAGATTTACGCATAATTTGAAAGAAGTTTCGTCTTCAGCTGTTTCAAAAACGCAACTCTCTTAAATCTAAGACTGTCATAATTAATTAAATTTATTTTTTTTATACCTGGATACGGACCTGGTTCTTCCAAGTCAATTTTCGTGTCTCTCTTACCAGTGGTAAATGGCACTGAATCAGTGGCATTCTATGATAAAACGAGAACAACGTTTTGCTGACTCTGACCAAGACACTACAATTACAGATATCAGTTTTTGTTCATTAGATGTCATCAAACAATAAATTTAAGTCTCATCGAGTGTGTCTTGATGAAGGTTTTTGTGATGTGTGTTTCTTAAGTTAAAGTATACACGAATTTTGATTGGTTCCTACTTATGATTTGTTGGAGGACAGACGAACAGATGAAGTCAAACAAATAGATTCCTTGTTGCCGTGGGTCTGTTCGGTTATATATTATGGACAACGTAAAAACGTGGTTATAATATAGACGACACACTCAGCTGTGCTTCGTGTGCCTCTTATTTGTTTTTGCAATCATCGGTTATTGACCTCAGCCGAGCAAACGCAATGCAGCATGGAATTCAAAAGTAAAATAGATCAAAGATGAAAGTTTCCATTACATATATCATTTGCGTCCTCTTTGGGATAACCCTTGATGCTTTTCAACGGCTGTGAATGGTGGATTTTCTTCCTGACTGTTTAACATAGATGTTCTTTTTTCTTCTGAAGAATTATTTTATTGATACAGAAAAACTCATTCAAGTTTCTCATACCTCCATCCCTAATGGTGGCTTTGGTTGTGGCATTGGTTGTAGCTTTGGTTGTGGCTTTGGTTTCGGCTGGTATTCAAACTTCTTTCCTGTTTTGCTCGGATCGAAGTAATGCAGCAATGCTTGCTCATGGATTTCCCTGTGTTTCATGTTCCAGGAAAAGATGAAGCTCTGTCTTCCGTCAAGATATTCCTCCCCGAACTGCGAAGCCACTTTTCTCCGTGCCCAACGCGAGATCACATATCTGTCTTCCTCGTCTGAATCTTTGTAGTTGCTGTCTCCACCGATGACTATCAAAACCTTGCCTCCTTGGATAACAAAACGAATGAACTATCTTGAAAGCCGTGTTGTGTGACTGGTGCTAATAAACTCACTGAATGCAAACTGCACCTAATTTTACTAAAAAACACACCTTTACATCTATTGAATATCTGCATCTGACTAACGCAATACCCTCAGCCTGAACCCTGATTTAAATGTCTTTACGATCAAAATAAAGTATAATTTTCTGTTAAAAAAAATAGGAAAAAAGATTAACGAGGGATAATCGAAGATTCTTTAAAGAAACCTCGCTCCCTTTCACAGCCTTCTGTTACGATCTTTTCTATACCAAGTTTTCAGTGGAAGTAAATTTTATTATCTCCGCGTAAGCCTGCCTTTACAATTGAGTTATTTTCAAGTATTATTTTCAGACATCAAAGTTCATTCCGAGAAACCGTGCATTACAAAATCATGGTTTTATGAAATTAAAACTCGAAGAGAGGCCGGAAGTAACTTCCGCTTTTGGTTAGTTAGAACGTGGACACGAACCAAGTGTTTACCACGAAAGAGAGAGTTTTTAATACTGAGAAACTAACTTTGAAAGTCAGTCATACCAAAGGTTCGCATCTTGCCTTTCATAAAAAGAGTAAAAGATGAAAACTCGACTACCTTGAGAGATACAGACCTGGTCATGCTCGGATATATTGTTTCCTTTGTGTTCCTCATGGAGAATAATATGAATCACAAGTATAGGCATTATAAATGCCAAACAGCCACAGTTCTCAGTCTCGATGTATCGTTTGTTTTATCAGGGGGCCTAAAGATATTTAAACTTATCCACACGAGTTTATATCGTCATACAAAGGAAAAATTACATCTTTATCGCTCTGAAAAGATCTGATGCAAAACACTATCAACTTGATCGTTTCGACTCACCAGTCGCTTTCAGTAACGCTCTGTAGATCTTTGCGTAACCAATTCCAGCGTTGTCTTCGTTGATTGAGAGCCGTGATTCATGGGCATTGACAGCAAAAATAGCAAAATCCATTTGTAGTCCGGGAATAACTGTCTCGCACATTTGTGTCATTTCGTGCAGCCGAAAATTGCGCTTGCCTACAGCAAACCGCATCTTCGCATCTTTTTGCACAGTAAGAAACAAGGATTCTATCGGGTCCAAACTACAAGTATTATCGCAGTTAAAAAGATAGATGTTGATCAGTTTTCCTTTCATTTCCATAGCAATTTTCTTTCAAATAATTTCACCAACGAACAGGAAAGCAAACTTTTCTCGAAAACAGTCGAACAAAACCTATTTGCTTGTCGTTCGCGGAATACGATTTCCCAGAATATTGCGTTACCCCCACTTGTAACCAAACCTTTTTGATGACGTGTACGGCAATGGCATGTAAACACTGTTTGTTTTTCTACCTCTCATCCCCAACTGAAACGAGTGGTTATAGATAAATATCGATATTTCATTTTAAGTGCATTCAAATAAATGCAGCTGAAAAGGCAAGCGTGGCTAAAAATTCAATTACTGCTTTTTTCTTTTTTTTTTTTTTTCCATCAAACGACTTTATAAGCCTTCTCGCGAGCACAACAAAACGCACACCGTGAAGATTACAGATTTCAGTCAAATGTATCGTAAAACGTCTGACACAAGATCACCGACAAATTACGAAAGAGAGCAAGCTTACGACAGTTAAAATCTACGATTTTTTAAGATAAATAATCAAACAAATACATATATAACCTTTATTTAAAATGACTAAGAAACGGCTGCTATCTTGTCAATATTTCTTGCATGGACGAGGATGGTTATCAAACGAAAGCAGATCATAGAAAATGTCATAACATCAGGTTAACATCAGGCTAACATCAGGCTAACATCAGGCTAGCATCAGGCTAACATCAGGCTAGCATCAGGCCAACATCAGGCTAACATCAGGCTAACACCAGGTCCCTCTCATGACGTCTGAGGTTCAGATGGTGTCTTTCCCGCTCCCCTATCGGGAAGCATTCACTTACAGGAGGGTCTCAATGGGGTGCTGGCTTTTACGGTTATCGGCTAAAATTTTGGCTCTTTTACGGCTATCGGTTAATTTTTTACAGTTACGGTTAACAAAAAAGTTAAAAATTAATTCCTTTGGTTCCAAAAGGTTAAATATTAATAAACCTGTGTTTTTTTAATCTTTAAAGCAAAATAAAGGTGTTATGGTCATCTCAGGCTTAAATGAGTTATTCTTTTGAAAAAATTTAATAGTTGATAAATCATACCACTTCTAACATTATTTTACGCATAGAATTGTGAACTACGAAAAAGGATTCAATACAAGGCCATACACAACTTAACTTACGTCATGCATTCTGGTGGCAAACAGGTCACCACTTGTAGGAGATGTGACCTGTTTGTCACATTTCCGTGACTCTTAGACTCACATTTCAAAGTGTCGGAGCCAAGCTGAGAAGCACGGCTTTGAAGATCTTTGAATATGAGATTTTTCGATCTCATGCTCTTTGTTTTAAACTGATAGAAAAAAAGTTTAAGCTATTGCCAGGGAACTAACATTAATTTTCTTTTGAGAGGGATGAAATTGAAACAGTATTTTACTCTTTCTAGAGACTAAATTTGTTTTTCTTTTTGAAATTGTTGCTCTTGGTAAGCTATTGCAGTAGTTTCTTCTTTAATAAGGGCCACCTTTGGTAAATGAAGCGTTGGTATTTATGTAACTGAAAACCGGCAGGAGTTTGTTTCATCTAAAACAGCTCTAGAATGAACGTAATGAAGAGCTTCAGTGTTGTGGAATTTGTTCGCTGGGGCCGATATTATGTATTACGAAGAATGTTTGTTAGGATTAGGATTGATTTTTTTTGAAAGCCAGTCAAAAAAAAAATTTAAAATCGACAGTATGAAATACGAAATACAAACAAGGTAATTCCAGCCTAACTTCAAGAAGCCCAGGATACTCGTCAATAGGATAGCACGCAACCAAACACAAATACTCTGTGGTTGCACACAGTAAGAGATCCCTCCGTTAGCTTGAGCGACAAATGTAATATTCGCAAAAGGTCTAAATTTCCAATCGTTCGATAAGCAACGAACAGTTGCTTCCGACGGCTGCCAGCTGTGATCCCAGACCTTCACATATTCTTCCTCATAAGAGATTCGTCCAAAACGCATGACTGTTTCCAGCAGAACGGTACCTTCGAGAAAGTCCGGTCGGGAGTCTGGCCCTAAGATTAGATTAAAAACATCTGTAGATAAATAAAAATAAACCTTGCTGAGGATTTCCGACTTGGATTGATGCTAAGGAGATGGGGTTAGGATTATGCAATAGAATTCGGGTACAGTAATAGCACTTAAGGCTTCACTTGAAGCCGTATTTCCTGGGGATCGTGCTTAGAAATAGGGACTCAAGGCTAGCTTAGAACTTAGAGGTTGTGTTGGAGAACTTAACACTTAGGACCTCGTGTTTGGAGCTTAGAATGGTAGACTGGAAAGGAGGTGAAAGAGAGTTTTGTACCAGAGTATTTTGTCGTAACTTTGTATCATAAGACGTCCCGAATTAGAAACAGCAATAACAAATGGTGGTTAGCATTCAGTGTCATAAGCATGAATTATGGAAGGTATATTTTAACAATAGTTCAACATATAAAAAGAGAGTGGAATATTTCTTAAAGCAGCTACTCTATGATATATTTCAAAAAATTGTTTCCGCTGGGTTTTTGGCGTTATCTTCAGTAATAATAGTTTATCAGTTATAGATATGCTTGCTTCTCATCACGGTGAGTAGAAAGTTAAACATACATTTCAGATAAATAGTCAATCTGAACTTAACCATTTTTCTAATAAGTTAGAGTGCCTCTTTAATAAGGGTGCTGATCCTCTAAGAAATAGTTTTACTTCCAGAATTGGATTCCTGGAGCAAAATTGTGGACTCACTTTTTCCTTCTTTCTGACCAGTATGCCTTCTGCGGGTTCCTGGAGGAGGTTCTTTGTAATCATAAATATCACCCTAGAGGATAAATAACATTAACCTTCATCAAATTTGAATGAAGAAGGAAAAATAGTGGAATAAACAAAAGAATAATGAATAAGTGGAGCAAAGGATGAGTTGGATGAGCAAATATAGGAATACTGGCTGAACATGTTGTAGAGGGTCTAAATGCATGTACTCAGTGTTTTAGCAAACCTATATACAATTGAACTCACATTGAATAGACACCAGTGAATTGACGTGATGCCTCATCAATTCACCAGTGAATTGATGTGTGTAATTCAATGCCTCATCCTGAATAGTCACCCAAGGAGTAGCTAGTTAAAACTTGCCCTCTTTGGTGCATGTCCCAAAGTTGTCGATTTCTAATTACCTCAAAGTATTGAAATTTTGAAAATATGCAAATATCCAAAGAGCAATGAAGTATGCGGACTAGAATCAACGAGTAAAATAACATACGAATTTCGATCTCATCGTTTTCCGGCAATGGTTACGTTCTTTTCTCAATATTAAAGTAGCGTTTTGAGCCATGTGCCTGAGGATTATAGATTAGCACAAATTAGTGCAAAAATACACAAATTTTGATCAGTTCCTACAGAAGGACAGAAGAACAGAAGAAGTCAAACAATTAGAATCCTTTTGGCAACGTAGAAAATGTGGTACACTCAGCTGCGCCTCGTGTGCCTCTGTTTAGCAGTCATCGGTTATTGATCCCTGACCAAATGCATTGTAGCATGGGATACAATGGTAAAATAGATCCAAGTGAAAGAAAAACTCATGGAAGTTTCTCATACCTCCATTCCTGATGGTGGTTCTGGGTTTAGCTTTGGTTGTGGCTTTACCTGTGGCTTTGGTTGTGGCTTTGGTTGTGGCTTTGGTTGTGGCTGGTATGCGAACTTCTCTCCTGTTTTGCTTGGATCAAAGTGATGCAGCAATGCTTGCGCGTGGATTTTCCTGTATTTCATGTCCCAGGAAAAGACAAAGCTCTGTCTTCCGTCAAGATATTCCTCCCCGAACTGCGAAGCCACTTTTCTCCGTGCCCAGCGCGAGATCACAGATCTGTCTTCCTCGTCTGAATCTTTGTAGTTGTTGTCTCCACTAATGACTATCAAAACCTTGCCTCCTTGGATAACAAAATAAATGAAATATGATGAAAACCGTTTAGTGTGACTAAAATCACGTAATTTTACTTAAAAACACACCATTATACCTATCAGATAATTACATCTGACTAACGCAATACCCTCAAACCTGATTTGAATGTCTTTACAATCGAAAATAAAGTATAATTTTCTGTTAAAAAAATTATCAGTTTTAAACTGAGAAAAAGTTATCCCAGGGGCAGTCCTAGATTCTTCTAAGACTGACTGTTTTATGAAACTACAGATGGGAGACACTTCCCTCCCTCTCCAGCACACACATTGAGTAATTTAGCTAAATGGCTTTGTAAATAAGTCAGGGTGTGATTAAATCTCTGAATGAAAATTGCACAAGATTTGAAAAACACCATCAAGTCCGTGGTAAGTCTTTCTCTGATTGACGCTGTACCCTCAAGCCTGATTTAGATGGCCTTAGGAAAAATAACCAATGATTCCCAGAATAAAACAATGGAAATTATCTCCATAGCCTTAAAATTGTGGAGAGATACCTATTAAGGACTTTTCAAGATCATAAGAAAAATCTAAATGTCTGATTTTACTTTCACAGCCTTTACGTATGATCGTTGCTATACCGAGTTTTCTCAGTGGAAGAAATTTAATAATCTCCACGAACACATGCCTTTAGAAATGTCTATGTTTATATTTTCTATTATTATTTTCAGACATCCAAGTTCTTTCCGAGAAACTGTGAACTATAAAATCATGGTTTTGTGAGACTGAAAGTCGAAGAGAGGCCGGAAGTAACTTCCGCTTTTAGTTAGTTCTAACGTAGACACGAACTGATTGTTTTCCACGAAAGCGAAAGTTGTTAATCTTGAGGAACTGGCTTTGAAAGTCATTCATACCATAGGTTCTCGTCTTTCCTCTCAAGAAAAGAGTTAATGTTGAAAGCTCAACTACCTTCAAAGATACAGATCTAGTTATGCTTGGATATATTGTTCCCTTTGTGTTCCTCACTTAGAAAAAAATACGATTCACAAGTATCGGCATTATAAATGCCACGCAGCCACAGTTCTCAGGTTCGTTGTAGAGTATCAGAGGTCTAAAGGATATTTAGCCTAATCAGAGTTTATATCGTCATTAAAAGGAAGAGGTATGTCTTAATCGCTCCCAAAGGATTTGAAGCCGAACTGTTATCAACTCGATCGTTTCGACTCACCAGTCGCTTTCAGTAACGCTCTGTAGATCTTTGCGTAACCAATTCCAGCGTTGTCTTCGTTGATTGAGAGCCGTGATTCGTGGGCATGGACAGCAAAAACGGCATAATCCATCTGCAGATCGGGAATAATTGTCTCGCACATCTCTGTCATGTCGTGCAGCTGAAAATTGCGCTTGCCTATAACAAACTGCATCTTCACGTCTTTTTGCACGGTTAGTAACAAGGATTCTATTGGATCCAAACTACAAGTATTATCGCAGTTAAAAAGATAGATGTTGGTCGGATCTCCTTTCATTTCCATGATATTTTCCCTTTCAAACATTTCAAATACGAACAAGAAAGCCAACCTGTCTTGAACACAGCCGAACAAAGTCCATTCGCTTGTCGTTCCGGGAAAATGAATTCTTAGAATATTGCGTTACCCAAAATTGTAACATAAACTTTTTGTTGACGCTTAAGCCAAAGGCATGTAAGCCCAAGTTTTAATATAATCCTTCGATGAAACCAGTAAAAAAAATACGAATAAATCTTACACATATGGTTCTATAAAATCCTTTCATCTCTGGATAAAGAAGCAGCTTAAACCCTTAAAACGACATTATTGAACGACAATCATGAACTTCATATATTCATTGTATCTGATTATTGGCTTTCTCGAAAACAAAGCTGCGGGTACCGGGTAGTTCTGAGATTACAGTCAAGTGTATCCTAAATCATCTTTGGCTACATCACTGTAAAATTCTGAAATGGAGAAAGCTCACTGCTTTGAACAGGTGCGAGTTGGTAAAAGGCAAAACTATTAATCATATTTCAGAACCTGAAGCAAGCAAGCCGTCGGCATCAGACCAAGTTCAGTTTGAAAAACTCTTTTTGTAAATTTTCCAAATATTTCATTACCTTAGGACGCCCATGTTGTTTTGTTTCCGGCATCAGTGAATGGCACATTACGAACTGGAACTTATAAATTTGCCAGCTGTTGCAGGAAAGATTCTCTTACGAAAAAAGGAAAAAGAAAGTGGCTTCACAAGCGCGACACAAATTCCTCGCCGTAGTCTTAACACAGAAGTTGTCCGTCTGCTTGTGCTTGCCTCTCTCTTTTACAAGTGTATGCTCAGGAGATCGGGGTGAGGGGGTGGTAGAAAGGGGGGGGGGAGTTGAGTGAAATTTTCGGGTTGCAGGAGGCATATTTATGAAGTTAAGAAGAAACAGTGTCATTCTTGTGCACGTCGATATATGGGTTGGTGCATATCCTTACACAATAACGTTCCATATCTGAACAAAGGCTTCGCTTTCCGCCTTCGCAGAAAATGTACTGCCCTTTTTCACACCAAGAAAATATTCTCTCGATCATTTAAGTTTTCTTTCATCTGCCTAATGACAGTTTTTGAAAGGTAGCAATAGCCTTTTGAAAGTTTTTATCTGCACTCGTGAAAGTTACTTCAGAGATGAGCATACTCTGTATAGCTCAGTATAAGTGGTTTGCAACCAATCTCTAGAGACACAGTCAACAATGGTGAAAGGAACAAATGCTGGTGGACGAACAATAGGAGGTAATGAGATAGCTATTGTTTACGTCTACCAACATGGCGGCAATGCCGTAACGTGCAAACCACCTGTAGGAAGTAAACCCCTACCCTACGCACCCAAAAGAACATCGAGGAGATGCTAGCATACGGATCTCGCCATTCAGCCGCTGTGTCCCCAAGATTAAGTGAACTACTCCACAATTTGAGTGAAGTAAAGATCTTTATTTTAATTTTTTTAGATTTTGAATCATGCTGTGAAACTCGAAAACAAAACTCACGCTAACGAAATGGAAATCCTGGGCTAGAACTTAGTAAAGAACACGTTATTTTAGGGGTATCGAATGGTCCCATTCAATTTACAAGTGCTCGCAAAATTTGGTCTTCGCTCGAATTGCTCGCAAAAATTACACGGGTGCTCGCTTGCTCGTGCTCGCAAAAATTTTTGCAGTTGCTCGCATGCTCGCATTCTCGGTAACATGTGCTCGATTGCTCAAAATTTCGTTAATCCCGCTTTGTAGTTATTTTTATTCACATATAAACGATAAATCAGTTATGATATGGTTAAAACAAGACATCCCCACCTCCGGCTTCAGTCTTTCTTCAACAGTTCAGCCTGTAACTGTTTTGGAGGCGCCGTATGCTTTACCAGAAAAAACGCACGAAGCTGCATGACAAGGATTTCGTTTATTGATTTATTCTTTATCATATGTCTTTGTCACAGGCTTTCTGCTTAAGAGGGGTACAGTTTCGCAGTTCAAATATGTGATAGTTCATCTGTTCACTTGTTTCTTAGGCTATTAACAAGTACCCAAAAGATTTCCTTTCTGTTAATACTGGTTTTGCTTTTTCCCTCAGTAGATTCGCTTTCATAGCTTGAAGCTAGCCTTACAATGGTTGTTTCTTTTCCCGGGTATTTTATCCAATGACTTAAGCCTTCTTTCGCTTGAGCAAGTGAAAACGAGACTGTAACACGATCTATTTACCAGGAAATTCTGATAGGAAGTTTGACATAACGGGAGGTGACATAATCTCCTGTGGAGACAACATTACTTGCGAACCTTTGTTGATCTAAATTCCCATTTATTTGAGCAAATTATCATGGTTTGTAGACATGATGGATTTTCTAGTGTGCAGTGAGAAATAAAACGGACGGAGTCATAATATTTTGAAACAGTGTACTCGGATCGCATTTTGTAGCGGTTCTTTCAACCTTGGAAGCTTCCTGGCCACAAGTAATAATAACTATTAAAATCTGATGCCAAGCGGTGGCATATGAAACCCGATTAATGGTATCTATTAAAAGCAATAATGCATCAACCGTGTCATTATTTACAAAGAATGAAATATAAAACAGATTAAGATAGAAAATACAACTAACTATTAATGGCAGACAATGTTAAAAAGACATCTATTTACAAAAGTGGATTTAAAACGTGAAGTACGAACTCTAGGTAATATATAATCATGGCCCCTGCTGCGTAATTGCCTAGTACGTCTCGGCGGTAAAAGATCATCAAGTGCAGTGATATTTGAAGTGATCTTGATCCATAGTTTGCTATCTCTGGTGGCTAAAATATCACAAATACTATATTTCTTCAAACAATATCCAGACTTAAAAGCCCTAGCAAACAGTTTGTCTATTCTCTTAAGATATTTATCATAATAACAGCAACCCCACACCTCAATAGCGTATGTGAAGACTGAAATAATTAGGCTTTGGAAGAGCAGATCTAATTGCTCCTTAGGGTAGCCATAAAATCTACAAACTCTTAATATAAGACAAAATAAATAACAACCCTCGGTCGTTTGGGCTTTACCGGAAATTCTTTACTGAAATGTTGCTTTAATCATTTTGATTAACAATTAAAGGCCTAGCCAAACGAGGAGACATGTCTAGAAACTTAATGCCTCCATGTCGTGCGGAAGCATGAAATGTAAGAATTCTTCTCGAAAGGCACCCGCGAAGGTAGAAAGTAATCTGGAGAAATACTARTATTACTAGTACTATTTGACCTTCACAGCTACRACTAACTAGAGCTTGTCACATCTGTAAGGCTGTAATTGGTTAGATTCTAGAAGCCTCCAAATAAATAAAGCTTCATTGCGATGAATCTTTTTCAGTCGATCAGCAGGTGACCAGTTTGCCCATCCTCGAAACCGAAGCTCAAAATGCTCGTTAGACCGAATGTGACCTTATGTACATTTCATAAGAACTATAAAACCAAAAAGAACATACCATCCATTTTAGCGTCGGGTTAGAAAGAGATGGAAAACTTTAGATCGGGGGCTTTAAAGTTATCATACACGTCAATAGGATAGCACGCAACCAAACACAAATACTCTGGGGTAGCACACTGTAAGAGACCCCTCCGTTAGCTTGAGCGACAAATGAAATTTTCGCAAGAGGTCTAAACATCCAATCGTTCGACATGCGGCGAACAATTGTTTCAGACGGCTTCCATCTGTGGTCCCAGACCTTCACGTCCTCGTCTTTATAAGAGATTCTTCCAAAACGCATGACCGTATCCAGCAGTACGGTACCTTCGAGAAATTCCGGTCGGGAATCGATAGGAACTGGCCTGAGCCCTAATTAGATTAAAACATAGATTTATAAAAAATAAAAACAAATAACCTTTACTGGGTATTTCGGACTTGGCTTAATACTAAGAAGCTGGGGTTGGGAGAAAACAACATGGTGCTTGGAATTAGAATTTACTTCAATTTAGGACTTCGGTTTTGGAGCTTAAAATGGGAGACTGTTGAGAAGGTGGAAAAGGGCTTTGAACCTTAGAATTTGGTTCTAAATTGATACCACGAGACGTATTAAATTGGAAACTGCGATCAACAACGATGGCTGACATTGATGAGTGAACAATCACGAAACAGGCTTGTAGGATTGAAAACGTAGTCAACGTATTTTTCTACTCAACATATGTTGTACTCTACTGTTATGTATCGAGCACAGTTACACGGAAAAATCGAAACGCAGAAAAGAAAAGGTGGAATATTATTTTAAGCAGCTACACTATGATATTGAAAAAAAAAATAGTATTTCGGCTGGTTTCGTCTGGCTTTATTTTCAGTAATAATAATTTACTCTCGCCTATGCTTGCTTATAAATGAGAGTTTCAGTTTTACCTTCAGAAGTGGATTCCTGGAGCAAAATTGAGGACCCTCCTTTTCCTTCTTCTTGACCTGTCTGCCTTTTTTGGGTTGCTAGAAGAGGTTCTTTGTCATCATAAATATCGTCCTGCAGGATACAAAGAAAAAAAATTTCAACAAATTTGAATGAAAAGGATGAGGAATGAATACTAAGAGTAGAGGGAACGAAAGAAAAATGAATAAGTAAAAGCGGCCACTTATGAATGAGACTACACAAATGAGATTGATTAACAAATACAGGCTAGGAATGCTGGCTGAACATGTTGTAGAGGTTGTGATATACCATTTAACTCAGTATTTTAGCATAACTATTTACAATTTTCTCACACTGAAATCAATTAAAGAGTAGACAACAGTGATGGAAAGCGACTAAGGAGTAGACGTGATGGCTCTATTATGTATGTGATTCAATGCCTCAATCTGAATATTTGATTTGTAAATAGCACAAAGTATGGAAATTTTGAAAATTACCAAATATTCAGATAGGAATGGAATATGATCAATGAGTAAAATTACATACGAATACCGATCTCATGGAGTTCTGGCGATGGTTAACTCTCTTTCCTCAGTATTTAAGTAGCGTTTTGAACCACGTGCATGGTAGATTGTCGATTAGCACAAATCAATACGAAAATATTAATCACGAGTCGAACCTCGTCCGCAGAATCGCTGACTGGTGGGAAAAAGTTCGTAGACGACGAGGGCTCTAGGATTGCTATCGCTGGCTCTTGTTTTGGCACATACTGGAACTTCAGTCCTTTCTTACAAGGGTCGAGGTAATGCTCTAGTGCTTTTTCGTGGATCTCTCTGTGTCCCTTGTTCCAAGAAAAAATGAAGCTCTTTCTTCCATCGAGATACTCTGCCTTAAACTGTGTTTCCACTTTTCTTCGTGCCCAGCGAGAGATAACAACGCGGTCTTCTTCGTTTTCATCTTGGTATTCTTTATCGCTACCGATGACGATCAATACTTTATTTCCTTGTGGTAAAAGACACCCATCACACATAAGTGTTACACATTATATCTCTAAATAAATGATATTTAAAGTAGTTCGCCCTGATTCAAGGACAGTTCGGGTTTTATATTTCCCATTGTCTTACAATGTACGTACTCACCCTCCTTCGCACCAAAACAACATTTGAAGAAACGCAGGCTTTGGATAAAGTATGGAAGGTGGATCATCTGTAAATGACACTTTTCGGGCCACGTTACTTATTGATTTAGAAAAGTCGTCTTTAATTATCATTCATCTATCCATTTTTCAGTGATAAGACAGTAATATTGATTTGACTTTCCCGGTAGAAAGGCTTGCAAGGTAAAGTGGAGGTGTTAACTATACGTATCAAGGTGAACTTTGATATCGCGACCCAGCGCGCACTTTCAGATCTCGAATAATGATAATTTTGCATTTTTCCTTTTGTTAACTTGCTGTAACACCAGTCTCGCCCATTTTGCTTAATTTTCCATTTACGCGCACAGACGCACACACATACACATATTAACCGAGAGCAGGACAAATCAGGAAAGAAATCGAAAACCGCATGCAGCTCATGGGAATACCAGATGGTTACGATAACTTTCTTTGAAACAGACCTCTCATACCATTTTCGATATCTCAATACGTTAGGTGTTCATTAGAAAAGAATAACGATACGAAATCACTGCACAAAAATACTGCAATTACTTGAACGTTACAGTCGACCTACCAGTCGCTTGTAGCAAAGTTCTGTAAATCTTCGCGTAGCCAATACCAGCGTTGTCTTCGTTGATTGAGAGGCGAGATTCGTTTGCGTGGACAACAAAGACGGCATAATCCATCTGTAGCATTGGAATGGTCCTTTCACACACATCTTGCATTTCATGTAGGCGAAAATTTCGCTTATCGACCAATATTTTGATGTTAAGATTGTTTGCCACTTTGACCAACAAGGTTTCTACTGAGTCCAATTTATATGTTTTATCACAGTTAAAAAGGTGAAACTTCACTACCTTCACTGGACTCGCCATCTTTCTTCAGTACTATTAGAGTGCTTTCGGTGAATGCGTTTCGCTAGCCTGCCAAAAGACTTCGTTTACAGCAGTATGGCGACCATTTGGCTTTGTGTAAAGTCCATTCGTCTTTCTCGGAAATTCAATTCGTCACGCAATACTCTCACTCTTTTTAAAATTTACTTCCGGTTTTTTTCAGAACCCAATAACTCGTATTTCAGTGTTGTTGAAATGATTTTCTGGTGGCTGGGACCTGAGAGTCAAATCTAGAAAGGGTCTGCGAAGTGTTCAGGTCCAAAAATATGTTTCAAAGTAATAATTTCTTTTGAACTTATTCCCAGAAATTACTATTCTACGAATGCATTGCTTCATTCAATGGTTTGTATTGAAAGCTTCGACGTCATGAGGCATCAAAATTATGGGTAATGCACTCATGTTTTCTAACGTAAAGAGCTTATTTTGAAAAGAGTACGACATGGATGATTTCCACGTAAAGAAAGATTAATACCTTGACGACAATGAGCTCTGATAAGAACATATCTCAATTTCTTATGCCTTCTTAATCCCTCTAGTTGGTCACCGCGGAAACTTTTTTCAAGCAGTGTATCCTCGTAGAGTTCATAATATCAAGCCATCCGCCAACGGATGGAATATTTGATAAATGATAATTGTTGGAATGAAGGGATCCCAATGCCGCAGGAACATGTACATGATCACTCGTTCATTATAACAATAAGAGAAGAAAAAAAAAAATAAAAAGCCGAAGTCGTAAGTTCCTGTTTAAATCTCAAATTATGCATAAACCCCTTTATTTAAAAGTTCACAGTTTAAATCGTTCCACCACAAGCGTCAAAAAGTAAAAAAACCTACCGGCTAAAAAATAACATCATATCTACACTTAAGATACTATACCTGCACTACACATTGATTCACCCTTCAGCCCTATCATGTTTTAATAGACAGTCATATTTACCTTATTTTAAGCGTCGAGCATTTAAAAAAACCTCATTTATATCATTATAACTTACTTTTTTCCCTTTGTATAACGACGTCTTTATGTATTCAGCAAAAACACAGCAGTTTGAAATTAAAAATATAACTTGTTACGATTAAAAATAAACTAACGTTACTGAAGATTATCCATTTTTACACAGTCGTTTATCTTTGAGTTGGAGGTATTACAAGTTGTTATTCTATTCACTGTTATTCTTGACGTTGTTTATAATCGATTACTGAACAGGCTCACAGACACACAGAAACATATCTATTTGTTACATGCATTGCAACAACAATCGCAACGACAGTTGCAACAACAATCGCAACAACATGCCCTTGCACAATTGTAAATGGCTAACCAGCAAGACCAGAGCCGGTTATTAAAAACATTCGATCGATCTGAGGGCTCAAATCTTTTCCAAAATCTTCGTCTTTCTTTGGTAACGTGACAATTTACCCTACCAAATTCACTGACAATGAATTGCACTTTTGCATCACGGACCGATTTCCAATCTCGCTCCAAGACTTCTACGGTCTCTTCAGATGGCAGCCATATTTTTCCATAACGCATGTGTGTTTCAACCAGCAAGGTTCCCTTCTGGTGGTCTACTGAAGCAGATACTGCGTCTGCGCCTAAGGTGGCTGCCAAAGGGTAAAAAGTATCATTTCATGAAATCAGTCGTGTGCGGTCGACCTTCAATAACACGGCTACCCTGGTAATAGAGGGAAGTGGTCGTTTCAGAGTGAAGGCTGTCATAGAGAAGGAAAGGTTCGGAAGGTGTATCATTTGTTTTCTTTAAAGTGTTCAGTGTACAATAAAAATACAGGACATGATCAATAAATTTATTTAATCAGAAAGAAATTTCAGGGGAAACGCCCCCCAAAAAGCAAAACACGAGTAAAACTGATAGTGATAATACGTATAAATTTGCATTTAGTAATTGCAAAGATGTTATTCTCTTTTTCATAAAGTTTGTCTGCCGGGCCTGAGTGTTTGCACAAGTGAAGTTTTCTTGCATTTTACGGCACCAATGTCTAGCTACAAAGCCAACTAACTTTGAAGAAAGGTTACGTTCTCCAGCTAGAGCGCTTTTCACTTGCCACTGCGAAGAGATGGCTGTTGTAGTAGTGTTTAAATGAAAGGAAGGGTGTAGACTGTCTGCCGCGACAAATAATTGAGCCGCTGTATAGAAAAGTCCGTCACTGGATGGCTCGACTGCATCTACAGTGAGCTTGGGCTTACCAATGTTATAATAGCAGTGTGCAATTCCCCCCTATCTCAGTCAGGTCCTTCACCAAGACGAATTCATTTGTAAATTTCACTTTCGGAAATGGCGGGGTGGAAGAAAGGAATGGAAGATAATGCTGAAGGACATTGTTACTGGGATTGAAACATGAGGGAGGAATGTCGACGAAAGATCACGAACCGCGCTGTACATGGTTTTCGTAAAAGCCGTACTTAAGCTTGTCCAAATAAAACTCGATAAAAGGAGTACATAAAATAAGTAATCATTGATTACCTCCATAACATTTTTGCCTCTCCTTTTTGATTGAGTCATTCTCAAGATCCAGCTCATCATTCTCCACGAACAAATCACAGGCGCCTATATTTATAACCTGTTTGGGGAAAATAATTTAACATTGACTACTTTAGAGATATGCTCTATTATATATTTTCTTGAAGAAATAACGATAACATTAATTATGCACTGAGTTTTCGTTGGCGAACTATGCTATTATCGTCTGTTTTTGTTCTAAACTACACAGCCCCTTTTTAAAAATTGATGTCATTTTTTTCACAGCCGCTACTTTGCGACGAGTAACATTCAACGTTATCCAAGAGGACCATTTTGCAGATTGCAAATGAGTAGAAAATTGTGCCTGACCATACCTCCTTTGAACTATCAGTGGTTTCAGGAGCAGCAGGTGTTGGTTTCGGCTCATACCGAAACTTCTCTCCTCTCTTATTAGGATTAAGGTAGTACTCTAACGCCTCTTCATGAATTTCTCTGTGCTCTTTATTCCAAGAAAAAATGAAGCTCTCTCTTCCATCAAAATACTCCTCATCAAACTGAGACGCCACCTTTCTTCGTACCCAGCGTGAGATAACAAACTGTTCTTTTTCATCTTCATCTTTATAATATTTATCTCCACCAATGATGATCAATACTTTATCTCCTTGAATTAAAAGTCAGTGTTAGACAAATTACTTAGGGTTTTTCATATTTGTTAGGGCCTCACCTTGCACGTTCTTGCCCCTTTTGACTGAACCACATTAACAGAGCCCTTGGAAAGAAAGGTAGGCTTATTTAGTTTGAAAATACGGAAGGTGGATCATTTAGATTAAAAAATAATTGAGTCTGTCAATAAACTCGTTTATGACTGTTTGACACGAGTGTCTGTAGTCTGACTGGAATAACTAGAATTTTTTAATAAATAATTTATTTCTTATAAAGCGGGTAAATGACGATGAAAGACTAAAGGGGGTTCTTTAAGGAAAATTACATGTCTCAACTGACCCGCGACGGAGTTCATTTGGGTCGAAGAAAGTTTTAGGTAAAGGGAAATTTAGGGAATATAACTTTATTCTCTCCAGAAATATAGGACATCACCGTCAGGCTTGCGAGGTAGAAATGTCACAACTAATCCGTGAAAGCGGAAGTGTTAAATATGCATATCAAGGTGAAATCTGATCTGAGCTTATGAATCTCTGACCTGCAATTTCAAATCTAGAAAAATGGTCATTTTGCACATTTTCTTATGTTCCACTTATTTCGCTCAAGTTTTTGTAAGAGCCAGATCTTAGAACAATTCGGCAATACTGAATCGTGAACCACGTCGCTTCAAGTAATACGTGCCAAACTATTTCGATCATTTACAGAAGAAAGAACTGAATCTCTGTAGTACAATGTATACTAGGCCAGCAGAATCAAATAAAAAACAAGTACATCCGGGAACTTTAAGGATAGAGAGCGAATGGGAAAGCGAGCGAGTCTATAGCTTTGTGTGCTAATATTAAAGCTCTTGCTTTGAAGCCTTTGCGGCTTCCTTTTGTAGTATACAACTCTATAATCCCTTAAATTACTTTCGATATTTCAATGCAATAAGCGACCAAAAAAAAAGATAACAATGACAATACACATTCTCATCATTGCAATTATTTGACTTACCAGTCGCTTGCAGCAAAGCTTTGTAGATTTTCGCGTAGCCAATACCAGCGTTCTCTTCGTTGATGGAGAGACGAGATTCGTCTGCGTGGATAACGAAGATAGCATAATCCATTTGTTGCATGGGAATAGTCTTTCCACATACGTCCGACATTTCACGAAGGCCAAAGTAGCACTTATCAACCAATATTTTGAGGTTAAGTTTGTTTGCCACTTTTTGCAGCAAGGTTTCTACAGAGTCCAAGTTATACGTTTTATCACAGTTAAAGAGACTAAACTTCATCAACCTGACCGGGAACGTCATTTCGATGCCTACGTTTTGTTGTCTTGCTACAAAACTTGGTTTACTATTGAATGGCGTCCATTCGGTTTTGTCTAAAGTCCACTCGTCTTTCTCGGAAATTCAACTCGTCACGCGACACACTCGCTTTACTAGATATTTTAACACTTCCGGTTTTCTGAACTATGTTGGATTTCAGTGTTGCTCCTCTCTTTTCGTCTCTGTAAAAGCATCTGAATCGAGAAATGATTACTTGGTGGCCAGGGTCTGAGTGTTGTGTACCAAAACTATGCTTAATTATAAGGACCATTCGGTTCAAACGAAGTTCAAGTAAATATTTTTTCTGATATCTTCCAATTCCCGATTTCTGAGGTCGTCAAGACTGAGAAGCTTCAGAATGCATTAACATTTAGCTTATTATGGCACATGTTCTTTCGTGTAAGTAGTAGTGATACACTACAAAACTCACGTTATGGCTGATTTCCAGGTTAAAGAAAGTGAATTCTTCATCCTTTCTTCTTCCCTATGGCTTGCATCCCCGTCGAGTTTATTAAACGAGCAAGATCACTCTAAAATCGAGGTATCCTTCAAACTGGCACTTTATTATCATAGCCCGGAAAAACATCATAGAGGCAGTATTCACACTGGCAGACTACTATTTCGTTACAACTAATTCGTTAATAATAAAGACCAAGATAGTCAACAAAAGATCAACTAACATAACCAACATAATGAATAACAACGGAAGCGACCGAACTTGAAAACAAAAGCTGCTCAGTTCGACTACATGAATTGTCCCTTAAAGAAAACAAACGATTGTCCTCTTAAACTAATCGAAAGCACAACTTATTATCCAATTAATTATTAGGCAGGTTTACCACATTCATGCAGGAAATTCAAAAGTAGCGGACTACTCCCACAATCACATGCCAAAAGTGTACAAACACGTCGAAAGATGTATTACAAGATTACCTTCATGCATCGAAAAGTTAAAGATAAAGTTAACTTAGGTATCAATTAGCCTATCCTGGCTGAGCATATTTTGGTTGATTTCTGTGGCAAAAAAAAAAAACATTCGTGAGTAGATTGCCATTCCATCACGATTATCGCCCAGCATTTCGTTAAGTCTCCCTGAAAGTTTTCTGAAACTATTTTTACTCCTAGTTGGACTGATGTACTGAGCCGGAGTAAGGTGTCTTAGCTAAGAACACAACTCGATAACTGAAATAAACCTCGGGCCCGGACATGTCGATCCGGAGGCCAGTATACTAGCCATTTTTATCATCAAATCAACTGTTGCCTGAAAGCTATTGTGGTAAAGTAAAATGATCATCGTATCTGAGAGGAGGATCATGAATTTCCAAGTAAAATTCTATACTCACATCAGTACAAACCTTGACTATATATCATAATTCCCCGAGATATAGGTCAAACGTAATCGTGATGACCTGTCAGTCATGATCTTAGAATGATAGGATAAATGCACATCGAATGTCGGCTAATCAGTATTTCTGCAAGAGTCAATATAATTTTCTCATTGTTTGTAAAGCCCAGGTTACTGGTTGGCTAATTGTGGTTTTAAATCGCTCGACTTTCGTTGTAACCTCTTCTATAAACAACTCATACCACCCACAAAAATATCCAGAAAACTCAAACGTCGACATGCAAGTCCATAAGATCTGAAAAAAACGTATGTATAAACTGTAAGAAAATAACGAAGACAAGACATTCTGAGGTCGCACACTAGAAGATACCCCACCGTTGGCTGTAGCAACAAATCTAACGTTCGCAAGAGGTCTCAACATCCAATCGTTCGACAGGTGGCGAACCATTGTTTCAGACGGCTGCCATCTGCGATCCCAGACCTTCAAGTCTTCTTCTTCATAAGAGATTCTTCCAAAACACATGATCGTGTCCAGCAGAACGGTACCTTCGAGATAGCACGGTGAGGCATCGACAGGTCCTCGTCTTGTGAGCCCTAAAGTTTTTTCGAAAATAAAATTCGTTTGGGGCCTTTAATTTCTTTACAGTAAGCACCATACTAAGACTTGTGACACGGGTTTCAGCAAACGTTTTCTTGTATTAGAACTACTTTTAGTAAGAGAAATTATTATAATTTTGATAAAGAGTTTATTCGTTAATCGGACGCCAATGCCAAATAACTATTCTTAGTGAGGATTAAATGAGAGGAAATCTTTAATTCTCTGAAGCATTTTCAAAGGGAGCAACCATCTCTCCTTATAAACTTTGATAACAGGAGTTCTTGAACCGTGGACCGATCCACTCAGACATAACTTTACCCACACAACTCGATTCCTTTGAACTCACCACTTTCCTGCCGAGGGCAGTATCTATCTTGAGGAGGTTCCTTGTCATCATCGATCCCCTACAGCGTCACAAAATGAATGAAGAGAACGGCGAATGAATTATAAAGAAAGAAATGAAAAATAAAAAAGAAGGAAGAGGACTAATGCAGAAGAAGGATACAAGGACGAATCAGTATGGAACGAAAACAAAAAACTGATTGACCATTTGAAAAACTAAACTAAGTGAAACCAAAACAAAAAAGGCAAAATTAAAACCAAAACAAAGGAAATAAATGTAGATTAAAGCAATAAAGTATCTGGGTATCAAATTCGCCATTCATATGATTGTAATGAAAGGCAAGGAAGTAAGTCTGATGGTTCTACTATGTATGTGACTTTGGCCACAATACGTGCACCTCTTCATAGGAAGAATCGGCTGCAGAATTCCTCACTTCAAGTTATTTGATTTCTCTGCTAGATTTGACACATAAAATTTGCTCATCAAGGAAACAGCAAAACCCCCTGCTGCGACAAAATGAATTTGCTTCTCGGCACTAAGTAAACAACTGGTTCTAGTATTCAATTAACAACTTTCTCTCACCAAGAGAAAAATCTTGCAGATTGCAAATGAGTAGAAAATAAGCATAGACCATACCCCCTTTGAACTATCAGTAGTTTCAGGAGCAGCAGGTGTTGGTTTTGGCTCATACTGAAACTTCTCTCCTCTCTTACTAGGGTTGAGGTAGTGCTCCAAAGCCTCTTCATGGATTTCTCTGTGTCCTTCTTTCCAAGAAAAAATAAAACTTTTTCTTCCATCAAGATACTCCTCATCAAACTGTGACGCCACTTTCCTTCGTGCCCAGCGTGAGATCACAACCTGTTCTTTTTCGTCTCCTCTGTAATTATCGTCGCCACCGATGACGATCAAGACTTTGTCTCCTATAAGTACAGGACACGTAGTGTTACACATTACTTCCCTTACATTAAGGTGGAGGTGGCGTGGCCGGGTGGTTAGGGTGCTGGACTTGAAATCCGGTGGCCCGGGTTCAAGTCCTCCATCCTGCCACTCAATGGATTTGTTCTCGGTTGCCCCTAGTTCAACTCTTCGGCTGCGCTTTGTAAATAGTTCACTGGTCGCCTCCTGCCAGTGGGGATTTTTAAGTACTTAGTTAAAACTACATTGTGGCTGAAAAGCCCCTATGGGGGAGCCTCAATTAAGGTAAGTTATTATTATTATATTATTAGAGACAGTTTAACCGAGAGTGACTTTTTATTGCTTGGTTGACAGGTTACACGCTCTACATCTCTCATCTAGCATATGTACCCCTTTCCACAGGATGACATCACCCCAACCCACAAAGAAGAAGAGACTGTAGGGGAAGAAGTAAGGAGGGAATTTAGAGTTACAAGGAAATGAATGGCCTAGAATAAATATTTCCGATTTATTATTTATGGTTTTTGATTATTTGTGAGCTGCCTGGAGTCCATGGGTATCTCCAGCATAAAACACATCATCATTTCTGAGCGATTTGACAAAGTTTTGACGTTTGTAGACGGGCGCGGTAGAGGAAGAGAGTTTCTTGTTTTTGAGAGCTTCAACCGAATGTCATATAGGCTATGAACAACCGAAACCCTGAAAGAAGATTTAATTGTACAATTACGTCACTAATACATTTTGTTCCCAGTAAAAATCTCAATGAATCAGGGTTTGAAGATCTTTTTCCTTTTGTTTTAGTGATGCATATTCCTTAAGAGCTAAGATTCAAGAAAAGAAGTCTTTCACTTTATTTGAACACAAATTTTCCTGACAGATCAGCACGCCGAACGTTAAAATATTTCCTTCAGTTTCATTTTCTTTCTTTAAAAGTACAAAGTCCGGGGGCTTAAGGCAAAATGTGGATAGGTCGTAAGAATTATTATACTCATGACGGTAAAGAGTCAAATCTCAAATAATATCTAATCGAAACGGAAAGTGGTTATTTTTCGCTTTAACTCATTTTATTGTGGGCAGAAGAAAGTATTTAGGAAAGGAAAAACGAACATGACGGACGTTCTTCCACTGGGAATCATACGACAAGACAGGTGAGGGACTCGCAATGTATTATGGCACGTGGTGTCCTAGAAAGCGAAAGTTCTTACGCATCGCGATGGACTTTAATCTGAAAGTAAAGCATCTCGACCTAGGTTTTTTCCTGCTGTATAAAATAAAAACGGTTGTCATTCGGAGCACCTCTAAGATGTTCAATTCACCTTAATGGGCCATGGATTTAGAATTTCTCTGCATTTGAATGTAAATGGTTTTCAAGAGTATTTTTAAATTAAGTACAGGTCATTGATCAGACATCAGAATTTTTGCATGGGTCATTTAGCATCACTATTATTATCAATAGCAGTAACGACGAATTCACTTTTATTCCTTTCTCCATTTCGCCAAAGCCAGCAGGATGTAACTTTTGCAAATAAACATTTGACAACATATGAATAATTCACCCCAAGAAAAAAGGCAATACATTGTCAGTGCACAAATATCAAGACAATCATTTCAATGTTTACAGTCGACCTACCAGTTGCTCGCAGCAAAGCTCTGTAGATCTTCGCGTAACCAATGCTAGCGTTGTCTTCGTTGATGGAGAGTCGTGACTCATGTGCATGGACTACAATGACGGCATAATCCATCTGTAGCTGAGGAATAATGTTTTCACACACATCCGACATTTCACGAAGGCGAAAATTTCGCTTATCCACAAATATTTTGAGGTTAAGATTGCCTGCCATTTTAAGCAACAGGGTTTCCACTGAGTCCAACTCATAAGTTTCATCACAGTTAAAAAGATGGAACTTTATCAACCTTTCTGGGCTTGCCATGTTTCGACAATTCTTACTTTCAGGGAACCTTCAATGTATGCGTCTCCGTTCGCTGAGCTCAAAACTTCGTTTACGAGCGAAAAGGTCTCAGTCAGTACAAAGTTCATTCGCCTTTCTCAGAACTTCAAACTGTCACGCAATAAATTTCTTCATCTCTTCGCTACTTCCGGTTTTTTCGTCTAACATCTCGTCCTTAATCACTCCTAATTTGGAACAACAGGAAGGGTCGAGAAATGATTTGATGCTAGCTAGGGCTTGTGTGCCTCAATGAAATATAATTATGTGTATCTCCGAGTCTATCAGAGCAAACCTATTGGCGGTATATAATGTTACTTATTGAGTTTCAATTCGCGAGTAGACGCTGCTGAGAAGACACTATCGTATATCTTCATTTGGTTTCTCTAGAAGGCTTTAGGTTCCAAATTTGAAGTGACTTTTGGTGATGATTACATTGAGAGACAAACGATTATACTTCTTAGTTGGTACAGAGTGATCACCACGATGGATCACTGCAATGTTTCCAATTTTATTTGCAAAGGCTTTTTTTTCAGCCACGTGACAAAGTCAACATGGCAAGCTATTGTTTATGATTGGTGAAAATTGAACTCCTTTCTAAGAAATCGATCTGCAACGATCGATTCCATGATTCACAAAACGGTGGTAAACATTAATTTCCTTATCACAAAACTCCCTCCTAAAGCACAAAGCAACTGGAGACAATGGAGAGAGAATCGATGAAGGGCTACTTGTTCAACTGTGACAAAACATGTGAACTAGAAAAAGTAGAAACACTTCTGATTGAAATGGAAGAGAAGCACAACATGAAGATCGATGTTGAAAAGTTATATTTTGGATTGAGAAGCATGTCTGAAATTTGCGACACTAAGATTCCGCTGTTAGAAATGAGTTTTGCCGTTTTCGTGGTCCATGCAAATGAATCTCGTCTCTCGATCAACGAAGAAAATGCTGGAATTGGTTACGCCAAGTTCTACAAAGCATTATTGAAAGCCACGGGTGAGTATTCCAAGGGCGGAAGCGTTTGAAAAGTCGTATTTTCATATGTATATCCGTTTCAGTGTTACACAGCAAACATAAAATAGTAAGTTGAGTCTGACTTTGCACTTTCTATTGAAGCATCAATGAAAGCTTTTTAAAGTCGGGTTTACTGTATTATTTTACCATAATTCAACTACTTTCACTTTCGACACTGGGCTTCATCAAAGTCCTGCTGTTGCTGCCGCTGTCACTGTCGCTGCCGCTGTCGCTGCCGCTGTCGCTGCCGCTGTCGCTGCCGCTGTCGCTTCCGCTGCCGCTGCCGCTGCCGCTGTCGCTGTCGCTGTCACTGTCGCTGCCGCTGTCGCTGCCACTGTCGCTGCCGCTGTCGCTGTCACTGTCGCTCCCGCTGTCGCTGTCACTGTCACTGTCGCTGCCGCTGCCGCTGTCGCTGTCGCTGTCACTGTCGCTGCCGCTGTCGCTGTCACTGTCGCTGCCGCTGTCATCGTCATTTTAAATATCATCGATGATATTTAACACCAGCATTGTTTTTATTACTAATATCTAGTTACAATGGTTTTTTCGATTACTCAGGAGACAAAGTGTTGATAGTAATCGCAGGAGACACGAATTACTTAGATGAAAACGAAGAGGAACAGTCTTTGATCTCACGCTGGGCACGAAGAAAAGTGGCCTCGCAGTTTGATGACGAGTATCTTGATGGAAGGAAAAGTTTTATTTTGTCTTGGAACAAAGAGCACCGAGCGATCCACCAGCAGGCACTTCTACACTTCTTTGATCCAAACAAGAAAGGACAGAAGTTTCAATATCGACCAAAACCAAAGCTTACCCCTGAGCCCCAGGTCACCTCGTCAGCAGCCGCTCCAAGAGAGGATGATATGGTAGGGTGGTGCAAAACGCTATTCTTTTATTGCATTTCTGATGGTAAATTGAAGCAAGCTGGTCTTTCTCCCTTTCCCTATGCTTACAAGTTATCATTATTTCCAAGAAATATGAAGAATATCGCGTAGGAGTCAATGCTACATCATTTCCCTGAACAGGTTTTAGAAGAAGGCGATCTTGATCCACTTGTGGAGAATGATGAAGTGAATATCGAGAATGAAAGGCGAAACCGCTATGGAGGTCAGTAACTTATTATGCTATATCTTAGAAGCCAAAGTTATCACCTGATTCTTTTTGAACAAGCTAAATTGTAACAGTATTTAAGACCTTCCGTTGATGATTTTAGGGCTATGAGAAAAATGTTTAGTAGTTTTTTAAATCACGTATATTGTCTATGAAATATAATTATCATCATCTCTCTGCGATAAGAGAAAAGCGGCGGTTCCGGTCAGCGTGCATTATCAATTTCAACAAAATAAAATGTACTGCTATGCTTTTTTCGTGGTCAGTATTCTAGGCTTCCCTTCTACTTCTCCCTTTCCGCAGATGCTTTTCTAATTTTTTTTCTCGAAATCAATTTATAAATAAATTGGACAGCCCCACGCTGACTTATATAGAAAGCATATTTTGACTCGGACGAGCCACTGGTGAGTCTAAAAAAGCATAGCTTGATTACGGTCGAACCACCATCAACCGGTGGTGTCAACTGCACTCATTTTCATCACAGTTATTACTTTAATATCCAGCAATCTCCTCAGTCACTGCTCTAGTAAACTACCCAAAAGGAACCGTGCTGCTTAAGACGCGCCTGCGATATGGAGAAGTCTCTCTTGAAGGGAAAGATGTCGTGGAATGGCAGGAAGAGTGGCAGCCATCTGAAATGAATGCTCTGGACCTGGAAGAAAAGTGGAACTTGGTCCCTGATGCTGAGGTGCAGTTCACTGCCGATGGCGATGGCGGGGCCAGCTGCGTCGTAAAAATGAATCGTTGGCAAAAATTTAAGTATTATATGTGGAGTATCTTTAATTGCATGAAAACATGTATATGCGCAGTTGGGATGTTTGTATACAGTCTCATCAGGTCTTGCTACCACTGGATTAGAGCTAAATTCTAAGGAGAAGTAACTCATGTAATCAATAAATGCAACTGAGCAACACCAGTTGATAATCAGGTCAGGCAAAAGGAAAACATTATGAAAGTGAGCGCACAGTCCAATATGCATGCAGGCATTTAATATCTAGCTATGACAGTAAGTTCAAGCCCCATAAAGATCTTCTGAGTTTTCAAACTTATTTATTCTTCAGATCCTGTAGCACGGATGGTAGTGAAATATTCTCAGGTGTAACAATACAAAGAAATTAAATTCAAGCATCGTAAAGTAGAAGTATTGTCACAGGGTGACGCTTTCAGCTTTTTAAAATCAGTTGCTAGTCTTTTCTGCACAGAATTCGCGGAACGTCCATACGAACTTGATCTCGCCCCGACACGAACACGATAGAAGTGTAGGGGAAACATGAAACGAAGTCCAGTGTTTTCTCTCCTTCTTGAGTGCTATAGCCCCTTCCTGAGTGCTTTATAACGGAACAAAGTAGAGCCAAAGCTTCTTTTTTTGTCCTGTTAAACATCCAAATTTCTTAGCAAGTGTGTTTACTGATTATTTTCTAATCAGAGCGTTAGCTATTTTCTAATCAGAGCGTTTCTAATCAGAGCGTTAGCCCTTCGTCGGAAGGGCTAACGCTCGAAACGTTATGTAATCATTACGGTGGCCAATTTACCATTTCAACTTTGTTGATATATCCAAATTATTTATTTTCTTATCAACCTAGGTGTAACGATTACAAGTTTATATGTCCTCCACGGATAACCTAAAATTCATGCACTGACATGCTGTGACTGAAAGAGAGAATGAATCCGATGGCTATGAAAACAACAAAGTATACTGATATTTACATATATAGACATACATATTGGTCACTGTATCTCCCAGCTCTTAAAGACCGTAACTATTCCGCTTCACATCTAGGTTGCCTGTACTTCAGTTGGTTTCCGAACTTTCGATTAACTAGTAACTGAATCATGTTTTGGATTAGGAAAAATGTCTTCAGTGAAGGGTTTACGGAAAACTCTTAAACGGAATAAGCGGAGGTTGGTCGTCATTCTCCACTGGGACTGGAGACCTGAGGCCATCAACTGCCGACTCTGAATTCCGTGCCTGCTTCTTACCGTTCTCTCTTTTAGTTTGCCGCACCCTGATCGACCGTTCACCGCAATCCAATGCTTGTTCCAACATTTCCAAGACACGTTTCTTGTAAATGGGATCGAGATCTTGTCCTCGTGCTGGGTTGGCAATAAAGAACACTTTTTTCTTGTCACCACCGGTGACCTCAATAGCTTCACTTGTCAATTTCTCTCTCTCATCATCGGCGTTGGGCCTCTTTTGAATCTCGTCATCAAACGTTATGACAGTAAATATTGTTATTACTGCAAAAGATGACGAAATAGTCATGTGACGAACAACGCTGAGCTTTAAATTCACTTAATCAGTGTGGCTCGTCAAACAGAGAGCCTCCTCACTTTCTTTTCTCTTAATAATCTCCACAAACCTCTGTGATAATGTTGGACATGACTATGTTATTTTTTTTTTACGTGCAGGCAGATTAGCCTTCTTGGCCTACTTCTGAATGAAAAATAATTTGTTTTAAACATGTTGTTGAAGTCGAAGGCTACATAGGAAAACATGTAAGAGACTGAAATTAGACTCGCCATAAATGAAAAAGGTACATTTAAGGCCTATAATGCAGAAATTGGCATCACCAACAGTTACTATGCTGATTTGAAGTGGTTTGGAGTGAGGTTCCATATGAGAAATAAGTCAGAAAGGAAAACCAAAGCATTGAGGGACGAGGGATATCTGCTTTCACCATATCCTTACTCAGAATGATTTAAAATAGGATCTACTCACTTGCTCTTTTCAGTTGCTCTTGAACAAACGTAATAATCTCCCTGTATTTTCCCTTCTCGAATCTGATGTCCACACCCTTTATTACCCAAAACACAACATGCATCTGATCGACCAGCGGGCGTTTTTCTAATTTATAGGCAGCAGGACCAGCGGCTTCTGCCAATTGAGCGCTTTCGTGATCTCGCTTCAGTTCTTCTCCAGGTCGGTGAATGCCAAAAAGAATACGAAACAGCTCCCCTGCGTATATCAATGACAAATATAATTAACAAATGGTAAACACCACAGCGTACACTATTGAGTTATGGATGCACGCGGGAGGTTGCTGAGCACGAAAGAAGTGTAAGAATCGCTCGAGGCGATAGCCGAGAGCGACTCTAGCTTCTTGAGTGCTTAGCAAACCTCCCAAGTGGATCCATAACTCAATAGTGTACGCTGTGGTGTTTACAATTTGTTTTATAACATAAAATTGATACACTGTAGCTTAAGAGTTCCCTTTTATTTAACAAATCTTACGTGACCAGAAAAAACAAGCGCGCGCGAAAAAATAGTCTTTGCTTTTGTTCACGTCAGCAGCGTACACCCATGAGCCTATGGGGGACGATAAATTGACAAATCAGAGCGCGCGCATTACTTTGGTTATGTTATAATTTTAAGTAAACGTACTTTATTTCTGGATTTACATATTTCTATATCTGCCCTCTCATTTTAGATTATGTTGAGTCTCACTTTTCCTAGTTCCCACCCTTTGGTCTCCTTTCAAGCTAAAAACCCATTTTCTCTTTACATCTTTCGTAAATGGCGGGACTAATTCCAACTCCAATAGTGAGGGCAAGAAAGCTGGCTTGCACGCACATGTGATAATAATAAAAACCCTTGCCATTTTGAAAGTGGTCTATAACACTACCAAGCAATTTCGGCTGAAAACAATAACATTTGTGTAGGTGATAAAAATTTTACCCCTTTACTGAAGCGACAAGCATGTTGAATAAAAATAATCATCATAGATACGGGCTAAGATATTTGGATATAATGTCAAGCTGTTGTGCCTTTCACAAAATCCACTTTATATTCCCCTGAGATTCAAGTCAAGTCAAATTTATTGTACATATACACTTAGCTTTAGTAAGAACCAGCTAAGCTGCAGGTATAACACAGAAACTGAAGGTAAAAAGAACTAAGTTGAGATAATGCCATCTACAGTAACTAAGATGATGTAAGATTTAATTAAGAATTAAAACCACTAACATAGGAGTAGGTCATAATTTGAATATATCAACAAAAGTTTAAATGGTAAATTGGCCACCGTTACGATTATAAAAGCTGACGTTTCGAGCATTAGCCGTTCGTCGGAGCGAATAGAGGAATTGTGGGTTGTGTGTGCTTTTAAAGGCAGAAAAAGAAGCTACTTGATTGGTGGGAACATGGCAACAAGAAAAACACGAATAAATTAGGTAGGTCACTCTTACGAGACGTATAAAAAACCACAACCGTTCGTTAAACTGGATGAAAAGTGCCTCTAGGCAATGGCCACAAGTTATTTCTCTAAATATTTTCAATTTATTTCTTTATTGTACGCAGGACCCATGTTAATAGCAGTTTTTATTAGTGAAATGGTCATCCAGCATAAATATTTATTATTATTATTATCATCATCATCATCATCATCATCATCATCATCATCATCATTTCATATAATGAGGAAATCTAAAACTTATTGAAGATGAAGTATGACGATCATAACATGATTATACCAAGGCGGTGGAGTATCAAACAGTTTCTATTTGTTATCTCAGTATTTCACTTCTTTATATTACTTAAAACTTCTATAAAATCGGTTTATCGTCTCCTTTACCCCTTTTCTCCTCGCGTTTAATTTTAGAGTTCAATATAACTTTTCTTATCTGATTATTCCCATATCAATCTTCATTTCCGATCACTTCTCTCCTTCATCTACCCATATTACGCCCGCACCTAATGGACCTGAATATGGGCTTAATACGTGGTAGTACCTTGTTTGTAATTTACAACTTGCAAGGTAACTTCTATAAGTATATACTGGTTTAAACAGTAGATAGCGTTAAAGGGACGTGTACTCTCTGGTTAGCTCTTAAACCCTGACTGTATCCTTCGCTATTCACCACCGGGCGACCCGTGCAGGATTTGCGCCCGGAAATATTATAATCGTTAAAGGAATTAATGAGTTAAAGTCATATTTTTGTGCCATATTATCTCACTGTTTTAGTTTATACTGAGAGACTTGTTCACCTCAGTGTCAGTGGCTTACCACTTTAGCCAATTCCACTTCGGTGAATAGCTGTTAAATATCCAGCGTGAGATTTCACTGAAATTGTAAGCACATGTTCAAGAGCCATCACGCAACGGCGAATATGAAATCTAAAAAAATCTCGCTAGCTCATTCCCTTCCGGTTTCACTTTAACCTGTGGACAATTTTCCGATTTTAATCGCGTTTATTTCACTAGACAGGATTGAATCAAACGACAAGAGTTTTTCATGAGCCCACGAGAATGTACAATTTACTATTCAGAGCATTTTAACAGGTAGTTGAAGTCAACAAAACCCACCTTCTTCTTTGATGTCCATTGCGAAAAATCCCCGTGTGTCGTAAAGCTTGACTGGGATTCCCGGAAGAACAAAACTTTCCAAAGCCTTCGTTCCATCCTTACCGGTATTTTGAATTATAGCTGGCTCTTCTTCAAGACTTAAAGCCTTGTGAATAGAGTTAATCAGAGCGGATTTTCCAGAGCCAAACATTCCAAAGAACACGATATTTAAAAAGCATCCTTCCATTTCGCCCTCCAGAGCATCATGAAACGTCTGGTACTTGCCGATGTTGTATTCAAGAATTTCGGTTCGTAACGATGTAATTTCATCTCCTAGCACCTCCATAACTTATATCCAAGAAATAGGCAGATCCTAACCAAACCAGTGATTGTTACAGTTTTGTCTCAGAAGGCCTGATCCATGATACCGTAGCCACGACGCTTGACGTCGGCTGACGTATCATGTGACAATTGCAGATTTCTGAGAAGACCCAATTTACGTTCAGAGTCATTCAGATAGCTGTTCCTTGAAACGTAACGAAGAGTCTTCATGAAACGGGATTTGGTATAGTGTTTTTATTTACACTCATAACTGTTGAAAGCAATTACCCTGTTTTGGAATCGATCTGTTATTAATCTAAGAAATAATGGTGACTTGCGTGACTGAAGTTTATTCGCTCGCTGTTATGCAAATTATTCTCCGAAATTTTCGTAGTGACCAAACCCTCACGCAGTTACGAAACAGCGGAAGACCCGGAGCCGTAGAGACTGTAGATCATTGCCTCAAAAGCGTTTGCAAAAAGAACCAAATCACTAAGAAAGATGGGCAGTCGAAAATGTTTTTATCTTTTCAACTGCGATAACACGTATAATTTGGATGTTGTTGAAGAATTGTTGAACGCCATTAAAGGGAAAACGACGGACATCGATATACAGACGAAGAAGGAATATTTTCGCCTTCACCAAATGTCTGAGTTGGCCAAGACTATTGATGAACAGACCAATAGTGGACAAAAAATGGATTATGCCATTTTTGCCATTAATGCACACGAATCTAGACTGTCGATTAACGAGGAGAACGCTGGAATTGGTTATGCAAGGATATACAGAGCTTTACTGATGGCAACGGGTGAGTGTTGAAATTATGAATGATCGTCTATCATTAGGAATTCTCTTAAACAATCCAAGTGATTTTCAAGTCTCATCTAACACAAATGACACGAAACAAGAAAAACGCTACGACATAAGTAAGATTTTTTTGGGACAAATAAGCAAGAGTGAGGAACGTTTCTGCTGTCATGGTATGTTGTTTACAAAGAAACAATGAAACAGTGCGTGACAGCTCGCGCTCAATTTAATACCAAGATGAAACTTCTCTCTGCTCAAGTCGGAGTTGTAGCTAACTTTTTATTTTATTTTTTATCGTAGTATTATTTTCTTTCTTTTTGTCTTTTGTTTCCTTTGGGAAGTGGACGGTGAGAGAAACGAATCAGAGTTACATTATTTGAAGGTGGAACAAAGCGCAAACTAACTCCGTACTCAAGGAATACAAGACAATTTAGAGGGAAAATGTAGCAGTCTGACACAAGTCACCCGTTAATTCTTTCCATGCGCCCTATCATTCTTGGCTTTATCCAAAAATTTAAACATAAGAAAACATCAACTCATTGTCTTATTAGAGCAATTTGAAGTTCATGTTTATTATCCATTCTACCAATTGCAATCGTCAACGAGAGGAGTGTTGCCGTCTATCTGTCGTTTGCGTCTGCTTTGTTTTATTTCTTTCTGTTTTTTGTTTTTTTATTTTTTTTTCCTGACGAATCATTTTTGTTCGATTCCTTGGTATAGACCTCATTCATGATGGCGGGCACGATAATTACAATTCTCATGTGCATGCGGATTAGCCTTCTGGTCCTCACTTTTGAGTGAGAACTATGTTGTTTTTGCATGAATCTAGAATAATAACAGTAAGGCTCACCATTTATAATATGTGAGCCACTTGAAATTGTGGGTGGTTTGCTCATCACTGAGACCGGCATAAGAAGTATGATGAAATCCTCACCACCCGGCTGATCGTATTGTTTTTTTTCACATATGTTATGCCTCCAGATGAAAGAGTGATTGTTATTATTGGTGGGGATGACAACTACAGAAATTCCACTGAGGAAGACGAATCCCTCCTATCGCGTTGGGTTCGGAGAAAAGTTTCTTCTCAGTTCAGAGAGGAATTCATGGATGGAACAAAGGGGTTTATTTTTTCTTGGGACAAGAAGCACAGGGAGATTCACGAGGAGGCGATACTGCATTTTCTTGATTCCAAGAAGAAGGGTGAAAAATTTGTATATGAACAAAAACCTCATACAGAGCCCACGAAGTGTAAAACTGCAGTTCAGGCAGATGATCAAAAGAAGGTGCATCAACCATTTAATTCTAAATGCCTTATTGCCAATTCTTCCATCGGGCTGCTCTGAATTTCCTGGAAACTTATTGATACATTAAGTATTACAACCGTGTAACTCCCCTTAGTTGGCGTGCGCGCTGATTCTTATTATCCTACCTTAAGCTGAGTAATGCAATACCATTGTGAGATGAAGTAGCCAATCAACCATTTTTTGGGTCAACCTGTCGTACATGTAAGTGGTCACCCTTTGCGTCTTTATTGCAAGCCTTTTTCGTGTCCATTGAACGCTCAAGCATTGAGCCATTATCTTCCCAAAGCATAAATTTCACAGTTATCACAAAGTGGAAGCTTAAAACACTTTTGGGTAAAATACAGTCATAAGGAGTTACTTTGGGATAAAATAAAAATAGCTGGTTTCTAGTTTTGAATCAATATTTTGTTCTGTTCTTGTGTCCTAGGAAATTGAACCACATGCAGAAAAAATCCAACAAGAAGAGAGTGAAACACCTGCAAAGCCTACATCTGCAAACTTTCAGGGAGAAAAGGATGCCGATGCAACAGACATAGCGGAGTCAAATGATTCTGGGGCAAAACCCAAGGAGAAGATTTGTACGTTAATCCCTTGAAATTGTTTGTGTATTGGTATCTCTTCCCTATAAGTACAAGTACGTTTACAGAAAGAACTGTTCAATTGAGACTCTGCTGGTTATTTGCGAAGTAAAATTATTAATTGTTTCTCGTTCTTGGAAAGAATCCTAAATTTGGCGGTCTTGAGCTTCGTCTAGGGTAAAATGTCTAAAGTCTGAAAAATTTTAATATTACATTACATTAATTATTATATTAGTGCATAGTTTTGGTCGTAATGGTGTCTGGAAGACCACTGCCATTCTTTGAGAAAATGTGGGTAAACTTTGTCGCATTGATCGTTTTGTAGTAATATGCCATGTATCATGGCTATGGAAAATGCTGGGTCGGATGTACATTTTGACCTTACCCAAAGTGTGAATGTCTTGCATTACTCATAACACTGACTTGAAAAAATTTATTTCGGGCTCTTTCTAACCCGTGGTTTTACATTGACTTGTTCGTTTTCACAGCTTCTAAATCAGGGACGAAGTTAGTAGTCCTTGGTCGTTATCAGTCTGATTTATCTCTTTTGGAGAACCTGTTTGGTGACGATTTTTCAGGAAAGGTCTCATTCTTCAGCGGCCCTCCAGAAGGGCTGAAAGACGCTCTAAGATCCTATCCAAGGTCCTGTTTCATTTTTGTGGATTGCAAAGCCTCTGTGGAAGAGTTTGCATCGTATTACGGGGACCTGTTAAATGATGCAAGAGATAAAGTTGGTAAGATTATATTTTTTTCTCGGGGGCACAAGGAAGTAGGACTCTGCAATTGCGTGGATGTAAAGTTTTCTTTTTTCTTTCTTTTTTTTCTTTTTTTTGCTGTTAAGCTCCCATCCAATTTTGGAACAACGCATATTATGTATGCGTAGATTATTGTTTTTGTTTTCCGCGTTTTCCTTCAAAATAGGCCAGTAAAACAGGAGAATTGATTTTAAAGACTGCCTTATAAGCTTCTTTGCATTTGTTTTTACAGTTATAGACTATTCTTACTATACCTTGCAGATCTTTTTTTTCTTTTTAGCGAAAAAAGTTGTCCTTATCATATGCGATGATAACCGTCAGACGGACGAAGACACTATTACAGCTAAGATTACTGAAATTCTCAAAGAAAAAGTTTGGGTCCTGTGGTGGAGAGAAAAGTTTCGCACGCAAGAGAAATTTTTAGGATGTAATGTGCCGTTTCACCGATCACAATCTCTTCCTAATGGTTCGCAAGAAAGATATGCAGATCGTCACACACCATCAGAGCATATCGACAAGTCAAGACTAGTTATGAAGACCCGACTTCGGTATGGAAATATTTCATATCCCGATGTCGAAAGGCGTTCCGGACAATGGAGCCCTTCGAAAGAGATAGTGGACGGCTTATTAAAAGATTGGCATTCTGCTCCCAACGTAGAATTACTGATACATGAACATAGGAAAACTGGAAAAACACATTACCGGGTAGTTGTGAATGACAATTCTCAAAACAAATATATCGTACAGTTCTTTTACAGTTCTTAGAAGAGCATCGCTGCACTAAGGTCTAGCTGTCTTCCAGTTGAAAGAGAAAGTAAACCTACCCCTCCACCTTTTGATTGACTCTATTTAAGAACAGACACTTCAAAATGTTTACTTTCTAGCGCGCAAAAATGCGGTGTACACTTCAGACTAGCAGTGGAATTCGTTACTGACGTATAATGTATCCAGCGTCTTTTGTGACGAAAACGTCACTTTCAAAGGCGTTTTACTGGGAAAAGACTATGAGATGAGGAGTACTCTGATTGATTTCTATACATTCAAACCATTGAGTAAAAGTGTCATTTGTCGTTTTATACCTAAAGGCTTCAGTTTCGTCCCTTACATACCCTGAAAAGATGAAAAAAAGAGTGCTGTGTCCACAAGTATCGCGCATTTTAGAGGGTACCACGAGCACACCAGGATGTCAAAACTCCTGCCAATTTCGTCCTTTTGTTTCATTCGGAACGAATCTGCTCCGCGTGATGATAAAATTTACTCGCGGTACACTATTTTCCTTGAACCAAATTTGTTTCTATTGCCCTAACTTGAATTAGAGCTTTCTTGGAGTCCGTTAAAATTTACAGCAACAGCTTAAAACGCTTAACCTTGGCAAAAACTATCTAATAAAGACTAAAATATCAGACAGCAAACGCGATTTCCATCGCCTCGTGGAGAAAATAGGCTATCAAGTCCTCATTGTCTAAACTTTTTCTCCCTAGGTATTATTTTTTCTATTTTTTTATATCCTCCATTTCAACAAATTAGAACCTAATGAATAATCTCAAGAAACATAAGAAGACGGAGAAGGGCATAATATAGCGGGATAATTAGATGCCCTTTATGTTAAATTACATTTTTTCATATCGTAAAAAGAAGCAATACAAACATAAGATACAAATATAAGAGAGGGACTAGGAATAACACCTTAAACAAATACATAAAAATAATACATGGTCAGAGGAAGACATTAATCAGTATTGAGAAAGGTAATGTAAGAACAGTGCTCTTAAAAAAGTCTTTTTAGTGGGCTTCTCTCGTATAGACTTAAGAATACCATTCCAATAGTACCATCATATAACAAAATTTATTCTGAAGGGGCTAGGGTTCAGGTACTGCAAAGATGTAGTACTTCTAGAGGCATAATCATGGATCTCGGACACAAAAGACAATGCAAAATTAGAAGATTTTTTGTCTACAATATAATTGTAATATAGCTGAGAGGTACTTAATTCAATTATGTCCGGAAGCTTAATTAGGCCAAGGTCTTCATTATGGGGAATAACATGGTCACGAAGTGGTTCATTGTTGATGATTCTTACAGCTCTGTTTTGTTGCTTTACCAACTGAGACGATGGAGCTTCGTAATTATTACCCCACAATATTCAGCCGTATGTTAAAAAAAGTATATACAATTGCAAAATATACACTTAAAAGAGATTGATTTGTTACATGTCATTTCAGTTTTGCGATGATGTTTAGTCTTTTGGTAATTTTACACCTAATATAATCAGTCTGGTTATTTTTCTGTTTATTTTTCTGCCAGAACAGAAAACAATCGATAACTAATCCTAAATATTTAACAGTTTGAGATCGTGTTAAAGGTATTGATCTGCTAATTCAAGGGAGGGGAGGGAATATAAATTGTAATTATTTCTCTGTCATGATTGGAAAACCAACTTATATAAGCATAGCTATTCATAGATTGATGGTACTTCGAAATTTCTTGGCTGGATCAGTATATCTAAATCTCTACCAACTGCTGTTAAAGATGTGTCTCCCTAGGTGAGAAAGTTATCACAGTTATTTGCAGCTCTTTGTTCCCATCCAAAGGAGAGCTATCGAGAATCGATGGAATCATTAAGTACTTCGTCGAGGAAACAAGAATGACGACACTGTTTTATTGAAAGGTGGCCGGGTAACTTGCCTTTAGGTTCGTGTATTTTTTTCAGTTTTTGTTCCATTTTTATGGAACTTCATCTCCGTCCAAAAAAATGCCAAAAAAAAAAAATCAAAGGAGACTGTAAATAAGTTGTGGATACATTACGTTTCATTGGGTTTTGAAGATAATTAAATACCCAGCTGACATATCATGGCAAAAAAGTCTTTCTTGCATTTTTCAAAGGAAGGTGGTGATCCTCTTAGATTCCTTAATACTCTAAATCCTTCATCTTGATGAGTTAATTCATTTACATAATCATCTGATTTAAGGTCACCAGCAGTATATTTGTTGCCTTTTGTTTTACACTTTCTTAGAGAGATACAGGCGCTATTTTGAATTTGTTTAATTTGTAACTTTTTAAATTTATAATTCTATTTCAATTTAATTTAATTTAATTATTGATATCATCAAAAAAAGTTGATTTTTTTATTGTTACTGCATGAAAAAGTCTTGGACAGTATTTTATAAGTGCTTCTACTTTTTGTAATTGTTATTTCATTATAAAGATTAGAGTCAGAAGCACATCTCCGTCTGCTGGACGCACTGCGGCAATATAAGAGCACTTGCTACACATATTTGTCACAATTGAAGAGATTTGAGTGACAACGTTAATCACCTGCAGACCAAGCTGACACAAGTTTTTCCTCTGGGAAATGATATCTTTCCTCAGTCATCACTAACCTTCACGAAGGAGATGTCAGAAAGTGCAACCGTAGCAACATGTTGTGAAAATGTTACAACCTTTGACTTGAACCTTAAAGCTTACTGTTATCAAGATATTTTTCTTGTTAAAAAGATATGTAATAGGCGAACATTATTACATTACCTATCTGTAATTTGGCCTTATCCCCAATCACATAATGTTGACAAAAACCTGTCATTGTGAAAGAGCTGCCATTTTACTGTGGTGATGTTTGTTAATTTCCGTCATTGATTTCTGTTGATGTGAGGCAAGCATGTGTTATCACTTTTCCACTGTGTCCATCAGCTGTTGATGTAATTGTTTTCTCGGGGAAGGTATGTCATTCTACAAGAATGAAAAGAAAGAAAATGTTAAGGTTATGGTTAAAACATTTTATTGTAAGAATTTAGGAAAGCCTGTGAATTGTAGTAAGGTACCTGTCGATATGGAAAGAGCTTTCTATTGTTACAACAGAGTTCTTATAGGTCATGGAAAACCTGGGCTGGGCAGTTGCATCTCTTGGTATTTTGGACTATAAATCATGATCTCTTTTTGGAGCAACAATCATTTTCACCTTACCGTCCTTGTTAATATAAAGCTTTCATTAGTGCAATAGTGTAAGTGCCCGCTGTAAAATAAATCAAATAGTGATAGCAATAATGACAATAGTAAGTTGTTAGTATTATGGTATTAAGATATCACAGTGATAATTATTATTAGTATAATTTCAGAGCTGAGCAAAGAGTTTCCAGCAATCTGATTGGTCGAGCGGTTCCTTATATGACGCTATATAAACCGCTCCACGCGGTTTATATAAAATGTTAAAATAAAATGTTAATAAATGTTACTAAAATGTTATGATTTTTAGAAATTTCTCTGTTTCTCAGCTCTGAAATTATACCCAAACAATTATTCGCCTCAGGTTCGGTGAAAATTGTCGAATAATCCCCGAGACGAAGTCGAGGGGATTATTCGACGATTTTCACCGAACCTGAGGCGAATAATTGTTAATTTTAAAAGCTTTATGACATCTTGTGATCTGCTTCTATGAACCAGTGGTTTATTATAATCAATTCTTATATATAATTATAACTACATGTTGTGGAACAAAACATATATGCCATTTTACCTTCTTGCTTGTTGACTGTTTTTCTTTTAGTGTGCCCTGTTGCTATCTGGACCATTTTGGCACTCCAAAAGGTTATGGCCAAGAACGATAAAGGGAATCCCATCAAATTCTAAATGCACTTCCTTGGTTTCCTGAGCATCTTTCTAGTACCTGCGATACCTAATTGAACCTCTTTTTGTTGTCTCTGTGTACTCTTTATATACTGTAGCATATGAATGGCCTATTCAGTAAGTAATAATGTAGGTTACAGAGGATCCCCAATAGGGTTCTTCAATCCCGCCATCCCGACCGGAATTTTCCTTCAATCCCGAGATCCCGACGGTTTCTACCGGCTAATCCCGATCCCAGTCATATTTTCTTAATTCCTTACTTCAGCAAAGATGATTCTTGAAGTTCCGTTTCAGATTCCCTCACAGCAGACTCAAGCACTGACTATGAGTTGAATTAGCTGTATCTCTCTGCACTAAAACGATGATCTAGTTCATTTGTTTTTCATGACTGGTTTTAAACGAGTTTGGTCAGTCAATGAGTTATTTTCATGATTTTTATAGCTGGTTTTTTTTTGTTTTCTTTTTTTCTGTTTTGCCCCTTTTGTTTGATAACACCCACCTTCCGGATCACTTCGATCCCTGAAAAAAGTGTCTCTCGGAGATGATAGCGATCAATGAAGACATTAAAGGAGAACTGAAGCCTAAAAGTGAACCATTCTTAAATTGCAGCTTATAGTTCAAAAAGCAATGGTCGAGGGTTTTTTTCAGTCTTTGGGCCCAACTTCGCCTCGGAAAAATAGTTTAAAGTGGTATTTTGGCCTCGTAGTACGGCGGCTCAGAAAATCGATGTCAGCGGTCATTTTAGCTCGCTTTTACGTCACTGGTGAGGAAGAAAGATAATAAACCCGTACTCTTCCTACAGAAATTTGGTTTGGTTATGGAGTTATCGAAGTTGCATGACTTGTAATGAGGACTAACTACGAAAATGAAATAGTAACAGTTGTTTTTCTTAAGTTGGTTCCCCCACTGACGTCATAAACGAGCGCTGCTGACCTATTTTGAGCCGACGGTCATACCCCCCCAAAAGCGAGAAAAAGGCAACTTCAAATGGAATTTTCTCGTAAAAAACAAGAAGTGAACGAAAATGAATATCGACACTTTATCTTACTCCTCTAAAGCTAACTAGAAATGAATGCAAGCAATATACCAATTTTAGGCTTCAGTTCCTCTTTAAGGATACACATCACGACGCACCACGGCATCTTCACTGTTCACTACACCTATGGCAAGCCACCGTCAATCGCAACTCAGAAGACAGTTTGCTCATTCACAATTTTCAGCCATGGCAACGATCCTCTGGAAATTCCATAAAATCGAGTACATTTGTGCTCAACAGATACTGAAACATATATTCTTTTCGACCCCAGTTTAACAGTGCTACATGTTCCGGCCCAAAATGCCGTAATCGATCAACGGTAACCAAAGCGTACTATAAGAGGTTGAAATAAGAGCCTGTATGGATTTCAATCTCGAACGAAAACTATTTCTGTTTTCCTTTGAAAAGCTACGATAGAGT